TCGTGGGACGTGTGTAGTGAGGAGGGCGAAGATAAGTGGCGACCCAGGAGGTGAGGGGTATCGCCAGGAAGGCTATGCGGTGTAATGTGGGTTCTTGACGGTGTGATGAGAACTATCTGATGTGCGATTGGTGCTGAGGTGAAACGGCGTGTAATGCTGGTTGTGCTGAAGCAATGACTCGTCATCATAATCGGCGTTAGGTCATCTGGTGAGACTATCTTTGTGGTTGGGGGCAGCTATTTGAGGTACGTTGCTCTTAACCTTATCAACCCTCTTCGACACTTCTTACCGTGAGGATGTGTGTTCCGTCTTGAGAGTCCTCTCATTGTGAGGAGTCGAGTGCGCTCAACCTTGAGAGTCGGCAATGTTCACGTGGAGCATCTGGGGGAAGATGGGCGGAGCTGTCTGAAGGGCCCTGGACGAAACACTGGGTCACGGTCACCATGCCAACCCACCGGGAGTAGAGCACGCATGCTTTGCTGCTTGTCCTTTGTTCGGCTCGTTGCGCTCTTAGATGGGTCCTGAGGGGCAGGCCAGCCCTATGTGGGAGACGAGAACCGAGCGTCTATAAATAAACACCGGCAGGGGAAACCATTGGCTGTGATCGTCATCTTGTTTGTGACGTTAAATAATTCCTGAGGACACTTGGGGGCGGTCCTTAAATAGCCTCTTGATCAGCCAATCGGTGTAAGGCTCGCTGCACGCGAGGATAAACAATGTGCTAGAGCTGGCCAGCTCAGCAGGACTCGGGGCACGCACTGCTCTCTGGATGGCTCAGGGACGCTGACGTCAAGCGACATTCAAGAGGAACTGAGGGAGGGGTAGATTTCAGGTGATGAGATCGGAAAAAATTCCATACTGTCCCAATCCACACAAATGATTCTATTTTTATGTTTTGATTAGTTAGATGTACAACCATTAACATCTGACAGACAGCACATTAGAACTATTTTCTGTTCATTGTGCATTCTGTTCGAGAACTAGTCAAACTAAAAATAGTTTTGTTTGTAGGAATCTGAACTTACCTGTTGGACCCGAATGTATAGTCTCTGACATAGCTGCCGATTATTTATTTTATTTTATTATAAATCGGTTTGAACATGTCACTGCGGTAGGCATCGATTGAGTGTCCTAGTGCAGGTGTTGTACAGTGTTGTAGCCTATGAGTGACAGGGAGGTTACACAACCGGACGACCGGCTCTTGCGATCGGCTAGACGCCCGATTGCCCATTTGGCATTAGGGCCAGAGGGCGACAAATACTTGTTTCACCAGCAGAGAGAGAGGCAGCAGCAGCAGAGAAAGCAGAGGCAAGCAGGGCATTCGTAAGCGAGGCCGCTACTTCAGCAGTTATGGCCACTGCTGCGCAACAGACTTTTCAAGCTGGTAGTTCAGGATCTATAGGGTCAACGGTCGCGCAGACCTTGAGTCAGACCAGTGGCGTAATGGCAAGCCAGCCCTTAGTGATGACTCCCGAGGAGGTCGCCATACAGCGAGCTGCTGATCGCGAGGCACTGCTACAGCAGGCTTTGGGAGAGATTACGGCAGAAAAAAAAAGAATGATTAGAAGAAGAGTCAGGATGCAGCGGAGGCAAGCGGGCGTCAATGAGTTAGAGATGGACCTTGCAAAGATGGAGAATGATGCGATACGGTCAGTCTTGCTAAGTGTAGTAGAGATGCAAGACCACCAGATGGAGACTTACACGACATCCAGCAGAGTCTGGCTGTGCTAGTCGGGCGAGTGCAGGCGGCACCATCAGGGGATAAGAGGGGCGAAGACCTCGACACTTGGTTGAGGGCAGTGCCAGTCTATGTTAAGTGTAAACTTACCTTGCCGCACGAGGAAGTGTTTGTGGCTGCCTCCTATTTAGAGGGGAGTGCAACACGGTGGTTGAGTAGTTTAGTGTAGCTGCATGGATATGGTCACGACTTCCTCGCTTGGGCAGCCCACCAGAAACTGGAGGACTTTCTCAAGATGGTGGAAGATAGGTGGCATGATCCTCAGGAGGCCCGAAAGGCCACTGACGCGATCCTAACACTGCACACCAGGCAGTTTAAGTCAGTGAGAGAGGCCACTGACGTTGTAGAGCGTCTGATATGTGTCCCTGGGGTGCGCTATGACCCCCAGGTCCTACTCAACTCCTACCTGAGATGCTTTCCAATGCCTCTCAGGAATCAGTTGGCAGGTGAGGCCAACATCAATATGCACAACTTTCCCTCATTCAACACTTTCCCTCATTCAACAAGAAGGCCCTAGACCTTGAGGCAAAGATAGCGCATGGACAAACACCCACGACGGATGGTAGGAGGAAGTCACTACTTCCCAACTGGAAG